GTTATATATTGTCCTGTTAAATCAAAAACTTTTTAAAATGATACATCAAGAGAAATTAGGGGGAATTATTTACGGTGTAAATATTAGCTGTATCCCAATATTGATTAATCCGTAAAGTCACGAAAAAATGAATATTAAGTGTTCAATTTTTTTTTGGGGGGGGGGGGGGTGGGGGTGAAATTATAGTAAAGGCAACAGAAGGTTGTTTTATTAAGCGGTTGCAATTGTGTGATCATTCAAAACATAAGGGCCGTGCGTAATTAACATTACCATGTGTACATGTATTTTTTGCCTATCATGCGTAATTGTATGAACATTTTGTTTAAAATTATCCCTCGAACTTGCTGTACATATGGAAGGATATAATTTTGCCGACGAACCTTCACACGTTTTTTTATCGTCAAGTGTAATCTCTTGGGTAGAATCTCTAGGGTAGTGTACATTGCTATGCATACTGGAAATTCATTCGAGATTCATAGTCAAAGACGTTTTACGGCACTTGTTTTGATAAACTGTAAATTAATTACCAAATCTGTAACCGCTTTATTTAAACCTCTTTAAACGCCAACAGATGAACAGGCGCGGATCCAGAATTTTTTTCCAGTCAAAAAAATATACAACTCAGAAATTTCTTCTCATGCAAAAAAAAAGGCAAACAAACAAAACAAATCAACAACCCCCCTCCCCCAATAAACAAAATAAACCCAAATAAACTCCTTTCCCGTGTTTCGGATTGTTTCCCCCATCGTCTCAAGACACGGTCTGGAGTCCGCATACAGCTCTTTCTTCCAGAATGGGAGAGTTTTTGGTCGTGGTTTGCGACGATGATAGTGTTTTCCCATACATATAAAATCGTGACTTTTTATACAAACTCAACACAGATGCCAGGGTTTCAGTGTCATCCAGGAGGGATCCAAGGTCACTTTTACTTAGTTTAGTATAGGTATTTAAAATTCTGCAAATCCCAGTCTCTTCATTTAGATGCGCGCATGGATGAATACCGGGTATACAGACAAAGGAGGTAACGTTTATAATTTATCAATTCAACGAATTCCTATCAAATCGCTATCATCTCGGGGATAGAGAGAAAAATGTGAAAATTACACATCCTAAATACCAAGCTAGCATATTTTAAAATTATGATCTTTCAAGGCAACGAAATTACATGCACGAGATAATTCTGATATTCTTGGACACCCCATGTATGAAATAACTGCTGTCATTTTATATAATGCTTGATACCCATTTTGAGCGGAAACTGGAATATATGTAATTCCGTTCAAGTGTAGATCAAGGCCAGTTATATGTTATGCAGTTAAAGATCTATGTTATATTTTTTTAACAATAAAAAAGATTAAAGATCACCCCAGCTGTAGTGATATGTTGTGAGAAAATGAATTACCCTACCTTTTGATCATAATAATCAAATAATGCAAGTATTTATGAATGAAAACAATCCCCCCCCCCCCCCGAAACACTATTGAATAGATTTAGTTCACTTCGTCAGTTTTTCATCTGTAAAAATTAATTTTTTTTTCGATTGTGTATGTAGGTATAAATTCTCTAGATTTGCCCTTGCATCTACCTCCAACTAACTAACGACCTGTAGCACAGATTACTTATGAAATATTTGGAAAACCTAAGTAAACCTAGGTAAATATTTAAAGCAAAGGGGGCGTTGCAAAAATATTTTATAAATACTGAATTCTAAGACACAACAATACGTATTTCTGTATTTTATATTTTTACCACATGAAATTATAATTGTTTGAAATATATATTGATGAAAATATCAGTTTAAAGTATACATATGTACATACATCGATACCCTCCGTGCGAAGCTACGCACGGCATCATTAATAAGATTTTGCTTTTGAAGCAGGATGAAAATTTACTTTTCTACACCTGCATAAAATTATTTCAGAAGATTTTGTTTAAAAGTAAAATAGATCGATGGCTGATATACGTATGTAAATTGCGGCTATAATATGTAACAGTGCTGACTCTACCTCTCCTAATATTATAAGGAACTTGAAATTGACATATACTCATCCAAGTTCAAGACTTTGTTTCGTGGAATTGCAAACAATTTAAATATCTAAATCCTTCAATTTTGTACATTATTTCTTTTTTTTTTATTAATATTTTAGAAGCAAGGTAACACAATATTATTTTGCTTAATCAGACGTGATCATGATATTCCCTGTTTATACAGTGATGTGGATCCAGAAGGGGGGGGGGGGTTTCCATTCTTTGAATTTGCTAAAAAGAGTCCCAAATTTTTGTTGTGCTCATGTAGTAACAAATGTAGAAATTCGATTGTGAAAACAAAATTGGATTTATGGGTTCGGAGATTTTAGAATTCTCTTTCCTTTGTCAAAAACTTTCAGGTACTAAGTTCATAATTTTTTCCCAGTCTGATGACTGTCCCACTTTTAAAACGATACTACATCCCTGGATCTTTTTACCTTTCTGTAAGCGTACGTTATAACAACTCTATTCCTCTTCAATCCCCCTTCTGAAAACAAAATCTAGATCCGAGTCTGTTTCACTTAAGTATTTACAAGTTAGTAATCTAGTAATCATGTAAAGCAGCATTAAGATTTGTCTTTAGAATAACAGTAATATCCTATAGTTAAATTATTTAAAACGAAGATAGTGTACAGCTTTAAAACGAAAACAGGCGATTGAAAGGGGGTGAAATTGGAGATAACAGAAATAGACCTCTGTTATTAATTTGATGATATCGAGTAAAGTCTAAGTGATTCATCTTGAAAAAAATCAATTATTTGAAAGAGCACCATCTAAAATAATTACAGTCTTTATGACGTCACAATTGACGTATATGTATTACTTTTAACGTCATGTTCAAGACTGACGAAGAGAAATGTAACTTATATGTTTTTTGAGGTTTGAATTCAGATAATATAAATCGAAGATCATGCCTCTCTACAAATATCGTTTCAAACGAACTACTGACTATTTTTAAAAATATATTGTGTGTAATTTTTATACCACTATTGTTATATAAACTAAATATTACTGAATGTTTAACAAAACTGTTGAATCTCTGCGACATCAAAATTTAAATGTAAAGTCATATTTCATATTGGCCACACGTGTGAACAACGATGATATTAAGCATGTGGATTCGTATCAGCAATATTTATACATATGGTAAGTATGAAAGTTGTTCTTGACTGTGGCCACATTTAATTTTGGGAAAATCCGTCAAAAAATCGGCATTTTTGAACGTTTTTATGAAACCGTCGCATCTTCGAACCATCGCACGTGCCTAACAGCGCGTTATTTAACAAAATGAGTTACGTAAGGAAAAGAAGTATGTTGTCCTCTAATAATTAACGTATAATACCGGCCATGAATAGAAACTCGATTTTTGTGAAAAACACAGGGCCAAATATGATGGTTCGTGGCTTTACCTCTTTCTAATATGAACACTTTTTAAGATACAATTGGGAATAACATTTAACGTATTCCTCCTTGAACACATGTATATTGCATTGTTACTTATATTCTGGAGTATTAATAAATAGTTACAGTAAATTATACAAGATTATATAAGCTCTGACCCTATTTACAGTATTTTCTTCAGTCCTTTTTACAAAGCAAAGGGTTGGTGACATTATATGCATTTATCAATAGTACTAATTATCAAATGTCAAAACTGAAGTTATTTTCTGAGGATCAGTGATAAACGGCCAGAGTTTTTTCCCTTGGAACACTTTTTTTCTCTCTCTACAATTGTACCTACTTTCAACAGCTTAAAAAAAATTAATGTTTCCCATAAAAGGTGCATGTTGTTTAAATTTGTGAATAATGACATTGAATTAGAACTTAAATCTTATTTTCTACCTCGTTGTATAACAGAACTTCAAAAGTATCACCAAGTAAACAATTCAAAGGAAAAAAAGATTGGACAAAAGAATAAAAGTGAAAAATAAAGTTCAGGTTTGTTGAATAATTCATATTCCTAAAAAATTATTGATATTTTGTATATGTTAAAAGATAGTAATTGAGCCGGCTTGCTTTTAAATTCACATAAATTTAAAGAATAAACTTTTAAAATTAATTTGTTACTTTCCCATTTCCCAAGAGAACTTAAACTTTTTTCAATTTTGACAAAGCTAGGTTAAGAAAAATACACTTGACTGCAAAGTTTTCAAAATACATGTATATATTACATTATAGACCACATATCCTTAATTTGTTCTATTCCCTTTCCCTGATACAAATGTTTGCTACATTGTTATAACTATCACATTAACAACAACAACACAGAGAACCCATACAAGTCACAAAAAAACATGAATTTCACAAATATTTGATAATTTAACAAGAGGACCAGGGGCCACAGCGCTCACCTGAGCACATCGGGCTTGAATTTATCCCCCCCCCTCCAGGCGTTCATCATTTGAACAAATTAGAATCTACACTACCTAAGGATGATTCCATATAAAAACATGTATCACTAATCATAGCTTTGAAGAACTTGAAAAGAAGATTTCAAAAGGTTTCCCTATATATCCCTATGTAAAACTTGGGTTGGCCATATTGGCCCCACCCTAGCCCCGGGGGTCATGATTTGAACAAACTTGAATCTACAATACCTGAGGATGATTCCACATGAGTTTCATCTTCCTGGCCCAGTGGTTCTGGAGAAGAAGATTTTTAAAGATTTTTCCTATATATTCCTATGTAAAACAAGGGTCGGCCATTTTGGCCCCACCCTTGCCCCGGGGGTCATGATTTGAACAAACCTGAATCTACACTACCTGAGGATGATTCCACATGAGTTTCATCTTTCCTGGTCCAGTGGTTCTCGAGAAGAAGATTTTTAAAGATTTTTCCTATATATTCCTATGTAAAACAAGGGTCGGCCATTTTGGCCCCACCCTTGCCCCGGGGGTAGTTATTATAACAAAAATTAAGTAAAACAACCACAGGAGTATACCACTTTAGAATCATATTTCCTGGCCCAGTGGTTCTCGAGAGGAAGATTTTTAAAGATTTTTCCTATATATTCATATGTAAAACAAGGGTCGGCCATTTTGGCCCCACCCTTGCCTCAGGGGTCATGATTTGAACAAACTTGAATCTACTCCACCTGAGGATGATTCCACATGAGTTTCATCTTTCCTGGCCTAGTGGTTCTGGAGAAGAAGATTTTTAAAGATTTTTCCTATATATTCCTATGTAAAACTTGGATCGGAAATTTTGGCCCCACCCTTGCAACGGGGGTCATGATTTGAACAAACTTGAATCTACACTACCTGAGGATGATTCCACATGAGTTTCATCTTTCCTGGCCTAGTGGTTCTGGAGAAGAAGATTTTTAAAGATTTTTCCTATATATTCCTATGTAAAACTTGGGTCGGCCATTTTGGCCCCACCCTCGCCCCGGGGGTCATGATATGAACAAACTTGAATCTACACTACCTGAGGATGATTCCACATGAGTTTCATCTTTCCTGGCCCAGTGGTTCTGGAGAAGAAGATTTTTAAAGATTTTTCCTATATATTCCTATGTAAAACAAGGGTCGGCCATTTTGGCCCCACCCTTGCCCCGGGGGTCATGATTTGAACAAACTTGAATCCACACTACCTGAGGATGATTCCACATGAGTTTCATCTTTCCTGTCCCAGTGGTACTGGAGAAGAAGATTTTTAAAGATTTTTCCTATATATTCCTATGTAAAATTTGGGTCGGCCATTTTGGCCCCACCCTTGCCCCGGGGGTCATGATTTGAACAAACTTGAATCTACACTACCTGAAGATGCTTCCACATGAGTTTCATCTTTCCTGGCCCAGCGGTTCTGGAGAAGAAGATTTTTTAAAAATGCCATTAATTTTTCACAAATTCATAATTATCTCCCCTTGGAAGAGGGCGTGGCCCTTCATTTGAACAAACTTGATTCCCCTTTACCCAAGGATACTTTGTACCAAGTTTGGTTGAAATTGGCCCAGTGGTTCTTGAGAAGAAGATGAAAATGTGAAAAGTTTACGACGACAACGATAACGACAACAACAACGACGACAGACAACGGACAAATTTTGATCAGAAAAGCTCACTTGAGCCTTCGGCTCAGGTGAGCTAAAAACACAGGACCATAAACTTCACAAGTATTGAACAATTTACATCGTGATACATAGGACATAGGAGAGTATGTTATAGATATGTACATTGCACTTCTAAAGCCGATTCAGTAATGCCGTTTCGGGCGATATTTTGTTACTGACAACCATTATAATTCTGAATATCTTTGCTGTGTGACTATACAGTCGGGCAATAAAGAGTCAAAAAGCTGTCATCATCATTCGGCATGAAGAAAATTCTTTACATGAGTTATAATAGCTATAAAACATTGTGTATATCGACAGAAGGAAAACATAACAAGAACATAATCATCTGATATATATTATAAATATATATATGTACATACATCATTTGACACATGGGAGAAACAGTGGCCAGAGAAAAAAAATGATATTTTTAACTGATACTGACAAAAAAAAAAATGTGATACACAAGTAATATTGTTCATGTTATTGAATGACAAAGATTGGCAATACGGAGTGAGGCTACATGTTTTGATTAGATAAATATCACAGACAGGACTCATTAGGTGCTTGATGGTCCTCTACCATGGCCTTAGTCTGGTCTCCTGATCCCCCCCGGGGGTGGGCGTGGCGCTGAGGGTAGTCAAGGTCTAACTTGTTTATGGAATTCATAGAAGACATGATATCACCGACCTGTAATAACAATGTCACATATGTATACGAAACTCTTGTATTGGAAGTACACAGTAAAATCACTTCTTTTCGTGGGGTCAAATTTTCATTTTATGAAGAAACAAGAAATCTGTAAGCCAATGCTCACTAGGAATACCCCCGCTCTGTTGTGAATAAACACTATCATGTTAATATACACAAGTTCAATTATGGACAGATGCACAGAAAAATATGAAATTGACATCAGATTCATATCAAAATTAATCCCACCGTATTGCATACATGTACCTAAGAGAAGATTGTGTTATAATTTCAAGCATCTGCTATGAGTAGTTGCTGAGAAAACTGTGATGAAAATTTGTTATGTATGAACAGACAGATGCACAGACAAACAGAAGGTTAACATCGGATTTGATCAAAAATGTATCCCAACATATGGCATGTGTCAGAGAAGATTGTGTTAAAGTTTCAAGCATCTGCAATGAGTAGTTGCTGAGAAAACTGCGACGAAAATTTGTTATGTATGAAACGGACAGACGCACAGACAAACAGGAAGTTGACATCGGATTTGACCAAAAATATATCCCACCGTATGGCATGCCTCAGAGAAGATTGTGTTAAAATTTCAAGCATCTGCGATGAGTAGTTGCTGAGAAAACTGCGACGAAAATTTGTTATGTATGAAACGGACAGACGCACAGACAAACAGGAAGTTGACATCAGATTTGACCAAAAATGTATCCCACCGTATGGCATGTCTAAGAAAAGATTGTGTTAAAATTTCAAGCCTCTGCGATGAGTAGTTGCTGAGAAAACTGCGACAAAAATTTGTTATGTATGAAACGGACAGACAGACAGACACACAAGGGTAAAACAGTATACCCCCCCTCTCCTTCGGAGCGGGGGTATAAAAATAATTGATTTGGGAGGCATTGATTTATGGTTACATAAGTGTCAAGATGTTCTTTTTGTCATATACTGCAGTTCACGGATGATGTGAATTCATAGGTCTCTTCATATCATGAAAATTCAACCCTCACAAAAATTAGTGATTTAAAAGTCAATTGAATTAAATACATGCTTTTCTAATGTATAGAAATATTCTCTACAAAAAATGGTAAAAGATAAATTTATCAAGAATAAAACAAGAAAACAAAGGAGAAAACAGTTACTCAATAATTTTTAGTCTTAACTGCCTCACTTCCTCAGATTGTTAAGGTTGGAACTTACAGGAAGATTTAACTGTAAATCTCTTCTAATCTGTCGACGCATCAGGATCCACACCACAAAGAAAAACACAGTTCCCATAAATTTCAGACCAGCTGAAATTCCTAAAATTAGAAAAAGAAAACACAATGTTATGGCAGTTTGACATTGTCTGCAGCTTTAAAACTCATCCGGGTTCTAAAAGCAAAGGAACACAAAATGCCCATCACGGCCATGGGCCTTTAGTCCCATTTAATCCTCCCTTTACCCTCTTTCCAAGTGGGTGAATAAGTGTTATGTTGATAAATGTAAAGAGGTAACAAGAGGCCCACGGGCCTTATAGGTCACCTGAGTATCGTGTAACAACTCTCAAACAATTAAAATTGGTTCGTGTTCTACCCCAGTGGCCATGAAATTCACAATTCACAATTTTGAAAGAGGCAACATTGCTTATCATAATTATAAACTTTGCATGCTTATTCTATTTACTTAATACCCAGAGGCAGATCAGAGTAACAAAGAGAAAATGTACTTCCACTATATAACCAGTTGTGCACCTCACCCCAAAGGAACCACTGACCCTGGGGCCACATATTTCAAAATTTTGAAAATTTTATCATAAAATGGTTGATTAATACTAAAATGCAGATTTCAAAGCATTAATTTGTTTTCAGACTATGTACCCCCCCCCCCCCCGACCCAAGGGGCATAAAAAATAACCATTTTGCTATATGCACCTTTCTTCATCATATATATATATATATATACTTGGATCACTGGCATAAAACCAAGGAGCAAAGGAAAAGATTTTTCAAAGAATTAATGCATTTTCACTGTATAATCAATAGAGCCCCGCCCTAATACCAGAACCCCTGACTCTGGGGCCATAAATTCACAATTTTGGAAGTGGCACTCTTGCTCATCATAACTATGTACTTAGTTCATTTAATACCCAGAAGCAGAGAAGAAGATTTTCAAAGAATAATGCATTTTCACTGTATAATCAATAGAGCCCCGCCCTAACACCAGAACCCTGACCCTGGGGCCATAAAGTTCACAATTTTGGAAGTGGCACTCTTGCTCATCATAACTATGTACTTAGTTAGTTTATTTAATACCCAGAAGCAGAGAAGAAGATTTTCAAAGAATTAATGCATTTTCACGATATGATCAATAGAGCCCCGCCCTAACACCAGAACCCCTGACCCTGGGGCCATAAAATTCACAATTTTGGTAGAGGCACTCTTGCTCAACATAACTATGTACTTAGTTAGTTTACTTAATACCCAAGAGCAGAGAAGAAGATTTTCAAAGAAATAATGCATTTTCACTATATAACTATAGAACCCCACCCTAGCGCAAGAACCCCTGACCCTGGAGCCATGAATTTCACAATTTTAGTAGAGGACTCAATGCTCATTACATTCATGCCAACAGTTTGCCTGCATGATGTCCAGGAGTAAAAAAGATTTTTAAAGATTGCAATAATTTTGGTGGTTTTGGCCCCACCCCTCAGGCCCAAGGGGGGCAGGGACCATAAAATTCAAAATTTTTGTTCCCCTTCACCCATAGATGCTGTTTGTTTGAAATTGGTTCAGTAGTTTCAGAGAAGAAGCTGAAAATGTTCAAATGTTAACACACCACTGACGAGGGATGACGACGGGCAAAAACGGATAGCAATAGGTCACCTGAGTTTCTCAGGTGACCTAAAAATCAAGAAAGAAAACATTTACTCTAAATACCTTTATGTGAAAAGGACAAAATAATCAAATATGTAATGTATTAGGCCTGTCCTGAGACTGAATTGTGTACCCTTTTCATTAATTTTAAAATGTTGGTAGACTGATATGTTTCTATTATACATAGTTTGCATCTTTAATGTCCATTTTGCTAATTGTAAAATATTTCGATATGATGTCCACCAATCATCACTTTCTGGCCTAATGTTTGAAGCTAAGGGCCATGACTTGCATAATTTTTTGTAGGGTCTAATGCTCTTCTTTACCATACTTTTACTGTGAAATCAGGGGGGGGGGGGGTAATTTTCGTGGTTTTCCAGGTATGAAGAGACCCATGAATTTACGTCTTCCATGAAATGTAATTTTTCAGATAATACTACTCAACAATTCTTAATCCACAAAATTAAATCCCAACAAACCTGTACTTTTTCCTCTAACCACGAAAAATGTGACCCCTTGAAAATATGTGATTTTACACTAGTTTACGGTAACTTAGAGATGGGAAGCTCTTGGGGGATCTTATGTTGAATTCATAAATCAATTAGCAATTTTTGCTCAATACGGAGATTCAAAACTTAAAATAAAGCAAAACATTACATTCAAACCATGGACACAATTTCTCCAGGTGTTAAACCTTTTCAAGACATAATCATTTTCTATACAATAAATCCCATTCAGCTGGTCATAACTCATCTGTGTGATGACTAAAGTGACCTACTCAAAAAGCTCAAATTAATTTTTTTTTCTCTTTATACATCTTTAAACGTAAACTACTCAAAGACTTGATTAACCTACCTATATATCGATATCTGAACTGTACAATGTCGTAGATAGAACAGGACCCAGAACTTCCACACCAATCCCTCCATAATAGACATGCTGTATCAATGGTGTTCCCAAACATTATAGGAGAAGGGATGTAGGCTACAAATAAAACACAAAATATATATCAAAAAAAAAACTAATTATAATTACACTCTCACATATTATTCTTTCACCTCAATCATGGTCATAAGTGTGCATTTTCAAATCTGAATGGTCACCCTCTTTTCATAAAATAATAGCTTGATGAAATGCACTTTAAGAAATATACAGAAAATGTCCCTGGCAGGCACCTACCAAACAATCTCAGTATGACAAACTGGAGACCCAGGGCAAAACACCTCTCTTCTTCATGGACAGACCTACAACAGAAAATGAAAAATTTACCTTAGTGAGAAGGGGCATCTGTGTGCTATTGTATATCTCTGTACCTAATTGTATCTCTCTATCTTATGAATATATTGGATAATGGATATATCCCTATTTTATTGGATATCTATGTACCTGAGTGTAATCATGAGGAGGGACATCTGTGTACTATTGTATAACTGTTTCTTAATGTATATCTGTATTTTATTGTATATCTATATACCTGAGGGTAATCATGAGGAGGGGCATCTGTGTGCCAGCCACAGTAAAGGTGAGGATCACCAGAAGAATTAGGAATGGTAGCAGGTTCTGACAGGTGGATTTACATGGGCCACTGGTTGCCACGGGGGACATTATCACCTCAGGCGAAATACTCGAGTTCTCCATGATACAAGAACAACCACTGAAATTCTGCAATCAAAAGACAAGAATTATTTTTTGTGAAAGAAAAGTCAGTTAAATTTATAGTATCATGTCATATCTGAAATTTTTCGTACTATATATATATAAACACAATGGAGACTTCAGTCCTACATTTGCAGTTTAATTTTTTTCAAAATACATGTAATGATGATCTTTTCCCACAGTGAACAAAACACTTAAGGATATCTGGATTGTACATAGTTGGAATTAAATGCCCTTTACTAGTATTTTCCACCTACCACCATCTTTTCCTCTGTTGTGATATGTGAGAAGAATTGGGTACAGCCTGCATGACAAGGTGAAAAATACGTAATGCCATTAATGCCGCAGATGGGCTCAAGGTCATTATTGGAGCAGGAACAGCCAATATTACAAGTGGACGTCAGATTGGCTTCTATCTCAAACTCCTCCAACTCGGAACTGAAAAATTGGAGGGAAAAAAATATAAACAATTGAAATTGGAAGAAATCATTGACATTGATAATGTTTCCAAAATTTTCAGCTTTCAAAATTAGGTGGAATATTTATTTTATTCTAAAATGATGAAGTTTTAAAAATTCCTATCTTGATATTACATGTTATGCATCCCCCCTCCCCCATCTGGCTATTTTTTTGTTCCAATCTCTCCATATGGGAGATAGTCTGGAGACTCCATACCTGTTCATGTTGATAGAGGCATGATATGGAAAGGTGGCTCCTGCTATCTTAGGATTCTCACAGCCCAGCACCAGAAAGGAGAGGAAACCCAGCAAAGCAAGGGAGTCCAGCAACAGGGTCAACTGAATGGCTCCTGGAAATTTAACCCATACAATTACAGTCAAACCTTGTTACCTTTACTTAATGGAATTAAAAAAAAAAAAAACTTCAAGATGTTCAAAATATGGGGTTGAGACTTCCACATTACTTCAACATATCCATGGTATTCGAGATATTGGTGTTCTAGATACCCAGGTTCAACTATATTTTACAAATAAAGGAGTGTCTCATCTCTCATTGGTTGATATTGCTGAAGAAAACACATCATACTGAAGTCATAGTACATCAACCGGAAGAAGAATTTTTATTGGTGAGTCAATTTTTCCTTGTTTGACTGTCAACTTCAGACAATTATTAACTTTCATGGGGTCAACACCATCATTTAGCTGACAAAAACAAAGTTTACTCAGCCTACTAATTGGACAGGGTGTAATATTGGTCTTCAAGGACAGCTGAATGATTGTGTTGACAAAGTGCAAGCCAATAAAGGTTTAATTATATAAACACAAAAACTATTCTCATCAGTTCACATCAATAAAAAATAACACAAATTTCAAAGTTAGATGGTTGTCTTAAAAATTGAAGAATTTTCCAATTATTCCTAGAATCCTGGTACATGTACAAACTTTAAGTATTTTTTGGGGGTGGGTGTTGAAATGTGCAGAGTTGATGGCAACATATAACAGTCCATGAATGTATATTGTATAGTGCATGTTTTCACCTCATGAAAGATCACTGTTTGACAGTTAACATGAAAAGTTGCAAAAATCAATCCAAAAAATTTACTTAATACTTAAAACAAAAGGAATTTGTAAAATACAGCACTTCCTTGCAACCAATTTCAATCTACATTACCCTTTCATTGACATTCATCTCATAAAAATCCCACCACATTGAAGTTGTGTATGCCAAATTTCAGACTTACATCAGGGTAAAAAAAATGGGAAGAAAAATATACCAGTATTGAATTCACTTGCAATAAATGTGGAGTTCTGCTTATTTACAAATTACATGAAATGTTTACCTTTTGGTTTCAACTGGAACCTCTTCAGAAGGAATCCTCCTATTAAAATACCTATAACTGCTCCAGGAATGCCAATAGCACCTGTAAGAATTTCATTGTTTTATTCTACTATTTAGCACAAATTGAATTTAAAACATGTTAAAATGCTTAACTAAAATACTATATATAGGGAAACATATTGAGAGAACTGCCAACTGACTATCAAAACAGTTTTTTTTATTGAACAGATGGAAGTGTTGTGAACTGGGGCTACAACAAATGACAAAGCAGAGCATCCAGTAATTGTCCAACTTCTGTCAGACTAAAAGTTCACATGGACCCCTTGTCCCCTTCAACTTTCTTATTCCTATCTGACCTTGCTTTTAGAGCAAATAATCAATGGGCTATTTTCCTTTGACTGCCTTTAAACCAATGAGCAAGAGAGACTGAAAACTTAATAAGGTGTATTTTTGTAATGTAAATACATTTACATGTATACACACAAGGGTGTGTTACTCAATTCCATGATATATAAGTGTATTGTAAAAAATTATCATAATATTTTTGTACTTTAAGGAAATCAATCAATTCTGCTTGGTCAAGAGAATTTTGAGGAAAAGTATAGGATCCATATGGAAAAAAAAATCAAAATTTTTGTACAAGATATACTGTGCTTGAAATGATTGGTTAAAAGTCAATTCAGAATAATCAAACAAATATTGTATGTAGTTAAAGATGACATTGAAAACTTTCACCCCTCAAAAACCTTTATCAACTAATCAACAAAGCTGCACTTTATTGACCATTATTTTCCACTAGGTGAAAATTTTCCATGTTACTCTTATAACTACATGCAATATTAATGTGTCAGTTTTAAGGCTCACTGGTCCTCTTGGGAAGAGAGATAACTTCCTATAGGATAATAATTTATTATCATTCATTTCTTGACAAAAAAGACAATTTCAGTTAAATAATGCACATGGTGTTTGCTGGAAATTTTGTGCATTTTTATCATTATTGAATAGATTTCTTTGTGAAAATCACACATATTGAAGCAAAATTTCACACAACTGAATCAAGAGGAAGTTCTCAGTGATAACGAGCAAAGAATAAAGCTTCAGTATGTCCTTTTACATGTTTAACTTCAATAAAGTTCACTTTGTTGTGTAGAAAGCATTGGGTAAATATTTTCAAAAAAATAAAAAAATAAACTCCTACAACTGTTTGGCTCATTTCTTTCATCACTGACAAAATCTCACCAGTAAACAGGTTGGCCATGGAGGTGGAGGTGCCAAACTGTGTTTCTAGGTACTTAGGGAGGAACACCACGAAGCCACTGACTATGGAGATCTCACAGCAGATCCCCAGACAGGTGATCAGGTACACCTTGTTCTTCAACAGGGACAGTATGGAACGGGGAATGTCTGCAAAACAAGTACACAGATTAACTAGGTTACACTGTACTCATACAAACAGGGACAGTATGGAACGGGGAATGTCTGCAAAACAAGGACACAGATTAACAGGGACAGTATAGAACGGGGAATGTCTGTAAAACAAGGAAACAGATTAATTCGGTTACACTGTACCTATAACAAAACAGAATAGTTCTTTATAATGTTGTGGTTGCTGAGTAAAGAAATGCCAAATGATTAATAATCAGAGCATAAGATGATGAATTATATAAAAGAGGCCCATGTGCCTTATAGGTCTCCTGAGTATCATGCAACAACTTTCCAACAATAAAACTTGACTCATGTTTTAAACTAGAGGCCATGAAATTCACAAAGAGAAAATGCATTTCCACTTTTAGTGAATTTCAGGGCCCCTGGGTCAGGTCTTCTTGTGTTAGGGCATGTCCACAGTTGAGCTCCCCATCCCACAGGAACTACTGACCCTGGGGCCACATCTTTCAAAATTTTGGAATTTTTAAAAAAATTTATTTCATCATGCTGTTGATTAATACCAAAGTGCAGATTTCAAAGCATTGAATTATTTCAGACTATGTTACCCCCCCCCCCCCCAAGTACCTCTGTCCCAGGGGCCAGGAAATTAATCATTTTTGTACGAAGCAGGTTTTTTTCATAAATATATACTAAGATCATTGGCATTATACCCAACAACAAAGGAAAAGATTTTCAAAGAATTCATGCATTTTCACTATATAAACATTAGAGCCCCGCCCTAACACAAGAAGCCCTAACCCAGGGACCCTGAAATTCAATAATCTCGAAGAGACATCCTTCCTCCTCATAAATATGTACACAGTTAATTGGTTAAATACTCAGGTGCAGAAAAGGAGAGTTTTAAAGAATTTATGCATTTTCATTATATAATCAATAAAACCCCACCCTAACACCAGAACCCCCAACCCAGGGGCCATTAAATTCACAATTTTGGAAGAGGTAGCATTATTCAACATAACTATGTACTTGGTTAGTTTATCTAATACTCAGGAGCAAAGAAGAAGATTTTCAAAGAAATAATTCATTCTTTACTATATAATCTATATAGCCCCACCCTAGCACTAGAACCCCTGTCCCTGGGGCCATGAAATTCACAATTTTGGAAGATGCAGCTTTATTCAACATAGCTATGCACTTGGTTAGTTTATTTAATGCCCATAAACACAGAGAAGAATTTCAAAGAATTTTTGTATTTTCACTACCGGTATATAATCTACATAGCCCCACCCTACCACTAGAACCCCTGACCCTGGGGCCATTAAATTCACAATTTGAGAAGAGGCAGTCTTATTCAACATAACTATGAACTTGATTAATTTATTTAATGCCAACAAACAGAAAAGAAGAATTTCAAAAAATTTATGCATTTTCACTATATAATGTACATAGCCCCGCCCTGGCACTAGAACCCCTGACCCTGGGGCCATGAAATTCACAATTTTGGAAAAGGCGGTCATTTTCAACTTATCTATGCACTTGGTTAGTTTATTTAATGCCCAGGAGCAGAAAAGAACTTCAAAGAAATAATGCATTTTCACTATATAACCTGTTTAGCCCCGCCCTAGCACTAGAACCCCTGACCCTGGGGCCATGATTTTCACAATTTTGGTAGAGGACTCAATGCTGATTACAATCATACCAACAGTTTGACTGCTTGATGTCCCGGAGTAAAGAAGAAGATTTTTAAAGTTTGCACTAATTTTAGTGCTTTTTTCCCCACCCCAGGCCCCAGGGGGACAGGGACCATGAAATTCACAATTTTTGTTCCCCTTCACCCATAGATGCTATATTCCAAATTTGGTTGAAATTGGTTCAGTGGTTTCAGAGAAGAAACTGAAAATGTTCAAATGTTAACGCACAACGCAAGACGACAGACGAAAACGGATAGCAATAGGTCACCTGAGTTTACTCAGGTGACCTAAAAATTTAATGGAGATTTCAAAAACAAAATTTCTACAATTAGGTGACAATACAGAGATACGACTTTACAATAACCTTAATAAGACATGATTTTGTATTTTTTTTTAATGACAGGACATTGTCCTCACAAACACTCCCAACTACTTTATATATTATGTCCTAGTGTAAATAAGTGTATTATATGTACTGACAAGTCTATAAGTACTTGAAAGTGCAATAAATAAAGTAGAATATTATTCATTACAACTGCTGCTCAGTGTCTGTCCTTCAACTGAGGAAGAGATTGTGCAGTGAATTATGATTTTTATGAAGTGTAATATAATAACCTTACTAAGGCCTAGAAAAAAAATATGTTTGTTTGTGCTTTCAGGCTGAAAAAATATATGGTAGGTAG